TTCAAAAAGAAAATAATCCTCATGGTGGTGAGTTGTATTTGAATTCAAATGCTTAGGAGAAAATGAGACACAGCCAGGAATGGAAATCTCACCACGCTCACCCCACAATTATAAGTGAGACCTTAACCATCCCCGGCATTCTCATCCCGCTAAAGGCACTGACAGATGCGAACACCAGAGTTTACACCAGTTTCCAGGCAGAACCAGAATAAATCGAGCAAGAGGAATCATGAACATTCAGTGATGCCCAACGCTGAGGAATTGTCGCTATACAAGAAAGGACGTAGGGCTTTGTCAGTCAGAAAGAGCTATCAGGGTTATATCAGTTCATTAATTTGACAAATATTTATTGAACGCTTACATTATGCATCTAATTCTCACAACTCGTTGAGCCAGGCTTCTTAGCATGATGTTGAGAAGCCTTCACAGGGACTAGGAACTTTTGAAACCCTAGGCAAGATTTCTGAGTATGTATATTTTTCTAGGGAGATAGTCCACATATTTCATAGAGCTCTCTTACTGGAAAGAATACACAAAATAAAGAATCCCAAATTGTTGTCTCTGTTTTCAAGATATGTAAAATCTAGTTGGGCAGATGAAGCAAGTTTAACGCCAACTAAGGCAGAACACTTGTAATCAGTTAATGGGCAGTAAAGCTAACAGATATTTTAGAACCTCAATGAAGAGAGATCAGGAGATAGGAAAGATTTTAGGAATGAGGTGACTCAACCTGGGTCTGTTAAACTGAGAAGAAATTGCCCAGGCAGACAGGAAGGAGAGAGCCATGCCAAATAGATGAAATTATGCCAATAAGCCTTTGAAGTAAGGACAATCATAAGATGTCCTCACGACAACACATAGACTAGTCTGGTTTGATGTCATGGTTGGCTCCGGGGGTGTCGTGGGGGCCAGAGTTTAGAAGGTGGATTGACTCTAGAATGCAGAGTCAATCCACCTTCTAAATTCCAAACTGAGGACCTTAGGCATTATCTTGCAGAAAATGCCACCCATTTTTTTTTAAAGGGGAGTAATCATAAATAGAAATCAGGTTTCAAAAGCTTTTGTAATTTGAGCGCTTGCCATGGATGGCCTGAGGGTTCAGAAAATGATAACCTATTCAGAAATCTACTTTGGGTTAGTTTCAGATGATTGCATGTGACTGTCAGCTCTTTAGCATCAAAGGAAACGTGCTTATTACATGTTACATTGATGATAATCTTCAGCAGATTGTAGTCACAGGACAAACTGTAACATTGCTGAACAAACTCATAATTACTGTGACTGAATGAAAATATTAGCAATGTATAATTAGTACAAAAGGTGGAGCAGAGATAGGCTCATACTGAACTAATGGCCACTGACTTTCAGTCTGAGTGGAATCGAGTTCCAGGACTTTGTTTTCTCCTCAGAAAAGGGTGGGAGTAATTCAGTGCATATGTGAAGTTCATACATCAGAGGGACAATGATCTTTGATAGTACTAGGGTCACAGAAAATGGGGTAGGTTAAGAGTCTTCTCCATCGATGAACAAACCTGGATGATGGAAAGGCACTCTGGAGAGGAATTTGGGAGATGAATGGAGGGAAGTTCAAGTCTGATTGGCTATTAATAGAAAGGAAAGATCTTTGAAGATGGACTAGAGTCTGATGATCACCTTCATCAGTTAATTCTTTCCTGTTTTCTGTGAGCTAACAGTAGAAGTTGGGGTGAGGGATTATTTGAGTTGCTTTGAGAGTTTTGAGAGGACAAGCTATTAGAATTAATTTTATTTTCAGTCCTTGGAATAACCTTGGTGATAGCTATTCCAGTCTCCTAGTTTGAAACCACGGAGGCCCAGAAAGCTTAAGTGGCTTGCATGAGGACACACAGACAGTAAAGTGAAGGAACAGGCCAGAACGGCTACTTCACCACTGTATGCATATTGCCTAGAATGCCTGGCCCATGGGAGGAGTTCAATAAATATTTGTTGAATGAATAAATGAGCCCCAGTCTTCTTTTTCTTTGTAGCATTCTTTCTACCACACCATAGAGACTAGGACAGATTTAATAAAAGACTGTCTTTGTGTGACCAGGACTGGCTTGTACAGTGTCAAAGGATAAGGGTCATTACAATACAGATAGATTTTCCTAGCAACATAACCTCACCTTACATGACGGATTAGTTTTCTGGAGCTATCATAACAAAGGGCCACAGACTGAGGTGTCTTTTTTCTCACTGTCTCTTAGAAGTCTAAGATTGGTAGGGTTGGTTTCTTCTGAGGGCCGTAAGGGGAGGATTGTTCCAGAACTGTGCCCTTGGCTTGTAAACAGTCATCTCCTTCACATTATCTCCCCTCTGTCCATGCGTATGTCTGAATTTTCTCTTCTTGTAAGGACACCATTCATTTCAGATTAGGGTCCACCTCTGATCTCATCTAATTATCTATTTAAATACTATATTTCCTCTATTCTAAAGTACTGAGGGTTAGGACGTCAACATATGAACCTTCAGGGAGGGCAGTTCAGCCCGTAACACACGAAGACCAGCTTTTCCATCTCGGAGCACTCTAAACTCTCAGCCCCATTTCTCAGCAGCAGCCAAGGTGATGTTATCAGAGCTCCCAGTTTATAGGAAGGCGGCCAATTGCCCAACAGCCTCAAGGTCCTGCCCACGCATGTGCGTTATCCAGGTGGAGTAGGAGAGTTGGCGTGCCAGTGTGTTCTCCTGCCAGCATGCTAAAAGAACAGCCATAGGGCTGGCTGACCTTTTTTTTTTTTTTTAAACTACGTTATTATAACTGTGATGGAACAATACTTTGTTCTTTGGAAATCGGCTCTTTCCTCATCTTGTAAAGTGCTATAAGAAGTCTGAAGGGCTTTGATTGCTTTTAACCACAATTATTATTGTTGAACTGTAGCTTAGATGATGAGTGTATATTTCAGGAGTATCCTGGGGCTGGCATCTGTAAGGAGGCTCTGAAATGAGTGCCCATTGAGAGGATTCTGGGGGAAGCCAGTGAGGCTCTCCCACGTTTTCTGTGAAGATCCTTATGTAAGGAAAAGCATATACTTAGGGGGAAAATGGTTTCACAGTTAGAAATCATTTGAAAGAGATGCTGTGCCAAGGTAGTGTCAGGGGATTCCCAGGTTCTGTCTTTGGTAGGCATCTGCTATTTGTGTTAAAGTGAGAGAGACTGGTGCTCCTTGAAGAAAATGCCATCTTATTCTTTGAGAATGATAATCTGGAGCTTAGCTTTCTTGTGTCCACCACCAGCCAAAGTGTTGAGTGTCTGTAACTCAGGACGTCTTCTCATCATGACTCTCACAATTAGAGATGATGCTATCCTGGATCAGGGTCTTCTCAGACTTATCCTAGTACCAGGGTGTGAATACTAAAGCTAGACTCCAGCAGGTGGTACAGGGGTGTTCGGATCCTTAGATGATAGTTTGATGCTTCTGGCATTACTATTAAGCACATTCTGAGTGGGTCACCTCATAGATTGTGTTGCTTAAACCAACAGCTCACCTGCAATTTCTACAATGTTGAGCTGAATTTTAAAGCCATTTTCTACTATTGGCTCATCAGACATCAGAGACAGAAGCCACTGTATTCTAGGAAGGAAATATTAACAAATGCTGGGAGCACCATTATTTGTCATGACTGTGAGTCACTATAAAAAAGAGCACAGAAAGCTGCAGGGTCAAGAATAAAAACATTTGGAAAGAGAATCCTAGCTTGGGGATAGAAATAATATAGAGTTCACCCAAACAGGGAAAAAATGGTTGGGGAAAATAGAAGTGGTTCCCCCCCCCCTTTTTTTATATTTAGACATAGATAATAGTAACCAAATAGCCTTAAGTGATTGGGAACTTTTATCAGTTCCCAGACCATTAGATCTTGAGTTATTATTCGACGCATAGTTAAGACAGACAAAAATAATTGTTTGCCAACCATTTATTATGAATTTTTTATACAGTTCAATGATTTCAACAAGAATGTCTCCAAGGTAGAATCAATAGGCCTCAAAAGATTGTGGGCTGATGGGTCTTGTCAAGGGCCTGTAGGAATTTGCCCCTCTGTTCACAAATTTTTCCCTTTCCCTTTCCCTCCCCCCAAATGCTCTCTGTGACCTCTTATTGGCCCTAGAGCAAGATAGATGTTTACAGGATTCTGAGCAAGATCCCTCTCAGCTAAAATTAACAAAGGTAGTAATACTCATCAAAGATTGGGGGAAGACGACTGAGTGCTATCCACTACAGCAGACAGTTTTAAAATTTGAGCTCTGGAGTTGTTTGAGAAATACCTTCCTTTTGTTTTTATGAGATTTTAAGTGTTTATAGCGTTAAGTGTAAAAATAAATCTAATTCAAATTCTAAGTCTTTAAGCTAAATCTTATTCGTAACTGGTATTTCTTCTAGTGATGGGCTGATTTCACAGGGGGCTTTTTCTGTAGAAGTCAGTCCCCCTGCACTATTCAAAGATTATTGTAAAAATTCAGTCCCCTTGTGGAATCTGCACTAATTATGCCACAAAAGGTGAGAGTCTATTTGGAAGTAAATATTAATGTAATTTAGGCCCAACAAGAAATACCAACTTGAACATTAAAAATATCCAAACTTCCCACAAGATGGATCAACTATTAAGAAAAATACCAGACCTGATTCTTTTGAATATGACCATTCATATTATTCATGTTACCTTGAGAGCAATAAATTACCATGTCTCCCAAACAAAACTCCTTAACTGAATTAAATGATTTATGTTTTTTTTTAAAATGCACACCACATTTGCACCAAAGAGCAAAGACATCCTGCAGTAAAGAACTACTCAAGGAAGAATAAAAGGCAGAAGTACAAAGTACTGAAAATGAGTAGAATTTAAGATTTTGGAAAAGAAAAAAAGATATATTCTAACATCAGTGAGTTTTCCCACAACCAGAAAAGTTTGAGTCATTTGGTATCCAGTGTTTCCCATTTTCCTTTGCTGAAGCTTTGACAGGTGTCAGGATATGGCAGCATCTCTTAAGGGCGGTACTGGGATCTCTGCTCTTGGATGTACTCATAGAGAGGGCTGGAGCGCACTGGGGCGCTGGCAAATGGACGTTTGCCAGACTCCAGAACCTGCTGACGGTTCTGGTCTTTGTCCTCCCTGAGTTGGCGGCGTCTCTGCGCCTCTTCCTGCTCACGGCGGAGCTGCTCTTCTTCTCGGAATTTTCTTTCCTGCTCCTGGCGGCGTCTCTGCTCTTCTTCCTGAAGTTCCTGTTCCTGACGCCGCTGCTTCTCCTCCCGGGCAAACTGCTCCTCCTCGCGGAACTTTCTGTCGCGCTCCTGGCGGCGCAGCTGCTCTTCCCTCTCC